TGTTTCACTCAATTCTGACTGGCTCTTAAAAATACATGTTTTATTGATTATGCTATTACAGTTGTCCCATTTTTTTCTCCCCTTTATTCCCCTCTGCCCTATATTCCCCCTCCCACCATCATTCCCACACCTTAGTTCATGTTCATGGGTCATACATAGAAGTTCTTTGGCTTCTCCATTTCCCATACTATTCTTAACCTCCCCCTGGCTATTTTGTACCTACCGTTTATGCTTCTTATCCCCTTTCCTCCTATTCTCCCCTCTCCCTCCTCACTGATAACCTTCCATGTAATCTCTATTTCTGTGAATCTATTCCTGTTCTAGTTGTTTGCTTAGTTCATTTTTTGTTTTGTTTTGTTTTGTTTTAGGTCTGGTTGTTGATAGTTGTGAGTTTGTTATTTTATTGTAGATATTTTCAATTATCTTCTTTTTCTTATATAAGTCCCTTTAACATTTCATATAATAAGGGCTTGGTAATAATGAACTCTTTTAGCTTTACCTTATCTGAGAAGCATTTATCTGACCTTCCATTCTAAATGATAGCTTTGCTGGATAGAGTAATCTTGGATGTAGGTCCTTGACTTCCACAAGTTTGAATACTTCGTTCCAGCCCCTTCTTACCTGCAAGGTTTCTTTTGAGAAATCAGCTGATAGTCTGATGGGAACTCCTTTGTAGGTAACTGTTTCCTTCTCTTGCTGCTTTTAAGATTCTCTCCTTATCTTTAATCTTGGGTAATGTAATGATGATGTGCCTTGGTGTGTTCCTCTTCAGGTCCAACTTCTTTAGTACTCTCAGAGGTTCCTGGACTTCATGGAAGCCTATTTCCTTTGCCAGATTAGGGAAGTTCTCCTTCATTATGTTTTCAAATAAGTTATCAACTTCTTGCTTTTCCTCTTCTTTTTTTGGCACCCCTATGATTCAGATGTTGGAACATTTAAAGTTGTCCCAGAGGTTTCTAAAACTCTCTGTTTTTGTTTTTGTTTTTTAAATTCTTGTTTCTTTATTCTGTTCCAATTGAATGTTTATTTCTTCCTTCTGCTTCAAACCATTGATTTGAGTCCCTGTTTCCTTTCTTTCACTTTTGGTTCCCTGTACACTTTCCTTTATCTCACTTTGCATAGCCTTCACTTTTTCCTCTATTTCTCAACCATACTCAACCAATTGTATGAGCATCCTGATTACCAGTGTTTTCAACTGTGCATCTGACAGGGTGACTATCTTGTTATCACTTAGTTATATTTTTTTCCTGAAACTTTGATCTGTTCTTTCATTTGGGCCATTATTTTTTGTCTTGGCACGTGTTTCTTAGTAAGAGGCATTGTCTTATGGGTGGGGTAATCCATGTCACTGCATTGTGGCACTCTATGTAGGGGAGGGGTCCTAGAGGGAACAGTGCCACTTACTCAGCTCTCAGTTGGTGTTCAGTCACTTTCTTCTCCACCCACAAGCAAATTGGGTCTTTCTGGTGCTGATTCCCGGGTGGGTGGGTTTGTGTACATTCTCGGCCCCTGTGGGTCTCTCCAATGAACTTTCCTGTGAGGCTGAGAGTTTCTCCCACCGCCACCACCCCCACAGATTTTTTCAACCAGAGGTTTTTGAGGCTTTATTTCACCCATGCTGGAGCCCTGGGTTTTGTGGTCTTTGTCACTCCCCAGTTGTTCCTCCTGATCTATCTGCACACAAATGTGTAAGGTTTCCTTAGACCCTGCCGAGGAAATAAACAACCAATTAGGCATAGAAACAGGCAGATAAGTTTTATTTTGGAAGTTTGTGCTCCAGGGCGACGTTTTCTCCACCCGGAGAAAGAGCTAAGAAAAGACCACGCGAGAGGAGGGAAAGGGTGGGAGTTTTATATGGCTTGACTTCACACAGGAGCCAAGGATTGGTTCTTGGTGAACAAAGAAGCAACATAGCATTGGTGGCTCCTGGTCTGATGTCACCACCTCCTCCAGGTCAGAGTTCAGTTGCCATATTACTTGTAGTCCAAACGGTAGCCATATTTGTAGTCCAAAATGCTAATTGTAAGTAGGTTCCCAATTGTCCTACCCTGCCTATCCTGACAAGTTGTAGGACTGCCCACTCCACAAACCACCACATTGCCCACGCAGTCCTCCAGCTGCTGCCTTGCTGGGAGTCCTCTCTACCCCGGTTACCCGTCTCTACTCCTTCTGGTCTGAATGGATGTTTCTTTTTTAAGTCCTTGGTTGTCAGACTTCTATATGCTTCAACTTTCTGGGAGTTCTGGTTACTTTTTGTTTTTAAATTTTTTTTTTATCCTTCTTTTGGTTGTTCAAGGAGGCCAACTGTATCTATGTATGCCTCCATCTTGCCTGGAAGTCCCTGATTGGTTCTCTTTGATGCTGTTGAAGTTCTCACCATGTTCATTAAGCATCTCTGTATTCAGTGCTTTGAACTCTGCATCTAGCAGATTGCTTGTCTCCATCTTGTTTAGTTCTTTTTCCAGAGTTTTGTTCTTTCACTTGGCTCATGTTTCTTTGTCTCCTAACTTTGGCAACCTATGTTTGTTTCTATGCATTCAGTAGGGCTGCTGTGTCCCCCACACTTTGCAGAGTGGCCTAGAGTAGTAGGTGTACTGTAGGGTCCAGGGGCACAGCTTCCCTGATCACCCAAGCTGGGTACTTGAGGTGTGCCCCCCTGTGTGAACTATGTCCACCCTCCTCTTGCAGTTAAGCCATGATTACTATTCACACATCAATGGGAAGGATCTACCCAGGCCAATCAGCTGCAAGAACTGGCTGTGACTACCAAACACCAAGCTACTTCCAACATGGAGTATCAGATGTGCAGGGGCCCACCCTACAGAACAGGACTTACTTCAGCAGGACTCTGGTGCCTGCTGAGTTCTCCTTTTCAGTGTGTTGCTTGTGGAATTGGTTGGGTAGTGGTGCTTCAATGTGGTCTAAAGCTGTCCACTGGGTGTGTTCTGAGGCCTCTCAGGAGGTGCAGGCCAGTGTCAGCAACCACCTGTGTTCTGCCAAGGGTCACCTGGCATAAGCTACAAAGTGATCTGCAGATGGCTGCTACTTGTGCAGGGTTTGGAAGTGACCAGGCAAGGCAAGCTATGAACCAAGGCCAGCTGCTGCTAGTGCCAGGCCTGGGGCCACTTAGTTAAAGGTACAGGACTTGCCGAGAACTGATGCTGGTTTCTTGAGAGGATTTAGAGATCTAACTCATGAGCCACAAGCCATTCATATGGAAACATTTTGGTTGGGTCCAAAAGTTGGGTGGGGTGGGACTTTAGGGAATCATCAGGGTAGGACTAATAGTGTGATCCAGGTAATGGAGACACAGACGTGGCATCTACCTTCTGGTTCTGTTGGCTGGAGGTCTCAATGAAGGAATAATGCACTCTGCCAGCACTTTTGTCTGGGAGAAAGCTACCCTTCTAGCTCTTGCCCAGATGCCAAATAATTCATTTCCTGCTTTTAAGTCTCTGGTGCATTCCAACCTGCTGCCAATGCCCTGGAGTTCAGGAGTGAGTCTGAGTAAGTCCATATTGAGATCCTTTAAGAGGAACTGCCTGGGACTCCAGAATCTTCTTCCATCTTCTTCAGACTCAATCTCTACTCATTTTATGGGGACTTCTATTCCTGGTACTAGAACCCTGGACCAGAGGAGCTGGGATCCCTCACTCCTCAGGGGGGACCTCCACAGCTGAGATATCCCTCCTGATTTTTAGCTGCTACAAGTGGGTGTGGGACCAGCCCGTTCCACATCTCTGGCCCTACTACCAGCCTCAGTGTGCTTTCTTCTTTAATTCTGTATTTATAGGACTTCCATTCAGCGCCATTTTGGGTGTTTTTGAATAATGGTTGTTGTATAGTTTAGTTGTAATTCTGATATGATTATGAGAGGAGGCAAATATCATTTTTACCTATCCTGCCATCTTGACCAGAACTCTTCAGGTGACTTGTTTAAATCCTGATAGGCAAAATTCTAAAATGGCTCTACAAGATACCCTAGTCTAACGCCTCACACAGTGAATGTGAGACATTACATCTGTGATGTCACATTACCTGGCAAAGGGATTTGCAGATGTAATTAAGGTTATAGTCAACTGATGCCGAGTTTACCAAAAGGAAGATGATGGTGGTAGGCCTAAACTAATCATGAAAACCCTGTAAAAGCTGTTAGTGTACCTTACAGCAGAAAAGGAAGTTATATTCCAAGAATGAAGAGGATTCAATGCACTGCTGCTAGTTTCAAGAGGAAGGAGGCATCAAGAAACGAGGGTGATGGCCAACAGCTTAGAGTGGCCCATGACAGATAGCAAGGAACCGGGAACTTCAATCCTAACCCAAGGATTCAGACAACAAACTGGATGAGTTGGAAGCAGCTTCTTCCCCTACAGAATCCAGCTTGGCTGACGTGATTTCAGCCTGAGACCCCAGGCAGAGAACCTAGTCTAGCCTGCCTGGACCTCCAACCTACAAAACTGTAAGATAACAAAAAGGCGTGATTTAAAGCTGCTAAGTTGTGGTAATTTTTTACATAGCAATAGAAACTAATAAAATCGTCCTGTGCTAGAAAATGCTTTTTTTTTTTTTGCATTGACCAAATCCTGATATGAGATTTTGTTTCTGTTTTACTGACTCATTTGTATACTATCATGAAGCCCTCCTCTACTTTTCCCTTTTCTGAACTGGATTTACTGCTTTCCTTTTCACTGTCCAGGAAAAAAAAAATCCCACCCAAAGTTATGCTTTTTGAGTTTGAAAATAAGACAAGTTAAAGTACTAAGAGAAAGTTTCTTTGGGCAGTATCCAACCCATTAATACTGCCCTTTTACTGAACAGCAATAAACCCACAAAAATAAAGGGATAAAACCATCAGTGACCAAAAAGGTCCATGTTCAAGGCAATAAATGTGTAAATCATAAAGGTGTAACACAAAATCAGGTACTAAATTTGTATTCAATATTCTCTTATAAGAACTTACTGTCTCAACTAGAAAAATAAAGAATAAATATACACACACAGTCAGAAAATTATTTTAATAGTTACAAAACTTTTTTTTACAGAATCAGTATAAAATAGCAGTTGATTTCTCCATAATTATCAGAATTATTTATACGTGAGGTCTTGGCTAAGTGGGGCTGAAATCAACAAAAGGTCTTGAACTGTTGGCTCAGAAATCATCCTAGGAAGCCTGCCTTGTTGATGTCTGTCATGCTTAGCTCTGATGAGATGACCCGGTCGTTTTTAAAATATCTATTCATTCATTCTTTGGAGGCTTGAAGTGAATTCGGCAGCGTTCATTAAATACCTGATATTTAAAAAGAAACAAGTCACTGAATTATTCTGTATAAACCAGGCCTGGAACCAAATTAAATTTACATGGTTCCGCCTTGACTGGTGTGGATCAGTTGGTTGACTGTCATCTCGCAAAGTGAAAGATTGCCGGTTCTTTTCCCAGTCAGGGCACATGCCTAGGTTGAGGTCAGTCCCTGGTCAGGGTGCATACAAGAGGCAACCAACTGATGTTTCTCTCTCTGCCTCCCTTCCTCTGTCTCTAAAAATAAATAAATTTTAAAAATTTACCATGGTTCAGGAGGGCATAATAGATTTTTTCCCGTCAACAGTTTTAGGAAACAGGGATTTTCTCATCAGTTCAAACTGACTTATGAAGTGCTAAGAGCACAGAAAGCCTTGATATACATTTATAAGGCAATGTTATTGTTTTAATCAAATTTAAATTATTCAAGGAAAAAAAATCATCACAGGCTAGCTTATTTAGTAACTAACCAACCAACAGTTCAGTTTCTTATTCTGGACTTGTTTTAGACATGTAGACAAAAATATCTAAAATAAGTTTAAGAGTTTTCCCCCCTTTTTTTGTAACATAAAATTTACTTAGATATCTGTTGTGCTTTTCTAAATGAGTGCTAGCGCCTTCTCACAAGGATGTATGCTTGAAGGGAGACTATATTTTGTTAAATTGTATAAATTTACATGTTTTGTTCTATTTACTTTGCTTCCTAAAAATCTAAACAAATTACACATCAAAAAGGTTAAAAAGAACATTTTATCACTGTCTGTCAATATGGGATTATGGTAACCAAAAATTATGATACAGCCATTCAACAGAATACAATGTAAAAGGCAAAAGATTTATACAATCTGAAGAGAAGCCAGAGTATCAACAAAATACAATGTAAACATAAAAAAGAATAAGGAAGCTCTTTATGTTCTGATTTTAAAAGATCTCCAAGATCTGTTAAGAAAAAATAAAGTGTGACAAGTCCACTTACATTTGTGTGAAGAAATTTTATATGCACACACATATAAAATTTAAAAAGGTGCAAATATCTGAAAGCATACACCATCCTTTCAGAGGGAAGGGAAAAGTGGCTATAAAAGAGATGAGTCATAGGTAGAATTTTATTGTATATCCTCTCATATTCAAAAAATTAAATCATGTATCTAAAAATGTGTATTTTTAAAAATTATAGATATATCTTTTTAAAATTCTCAGAATTTATCCTCAAATTTCATTAACATAAGGAACAAATCATTTTTTTTAGAGAGAGAGAGGAAGGAAGGGAGGAAGAGAGGGAGAGAAACATCAATGTGTGGTTGCCTCCCACGAGCCTGGCTTGCAACCCAGGCATGTGCCTGGACCAGGAATCAAACCAGTGACCCTTTGGTCTGCAGGCCAGCACTCACTCCACTGAGCCACATCAGCCAGGGCAGGGAAAGATCATTTTCAGGTTAAAAAAGAAAAACCTATTTTGGCTGCTGTTGACTATTACAAAAGTAAAAGCAAAATCTTCATAGGGAGGTTTTAAGGTGCTGGTATTACTCAGCTGGTATTACTTAAGCTGGGTGGTAAATACATGAGTGCTCATTTTATTAACATTCTAAAGTTCTACATGTTACATGCTCCCTAGCATGTGCACCTCACAATTTAAAAACAAGTCAAAATTATAGACTCCTTCTGGCTCCTCCATCTTGTAGTTTACCACATGTCAGTTCCTAGCCCTGACATTCCCTGAAGTTCCTAATGCCCAGACCAAAGGAATCTTCAGATTTCTAGCCTTCATTGGTTGGGATGATACATATGACTCGGGCGAGCTTCTCCAATTCTTTTCCTAAATAACTTCCTAACCTCTTTTGCAGGATTATTGCACCATAGCGCCACTTTCCTATTTTTCAAACAAGTGGGAAAGGTCACTTTCTGTGGGGTGGAAGGATTATATTGTTATGGGATGGGGACCGGGCCCAGAGCAGGCCTGCCTCAGGCTAGCCAATAGCTCTTGTATTCAAGCAGGAAAGATTTCACAGCATGAGTCCAGATGATTTTGAGTGTTTATTAAAGCTGGGGACAATGAAACAAAGGAAGGACCTAGGGTAGAAGAAGCAATAGGAGTGTAGGCAGTGCTCTGCTTTGGCTCCATAGAAACGTTATTAAGAAAGAAGTGAGCCAAGGCGGGGCTGCTATTAGCTCACTGGAAAGTCAGAGAGAGAAAGGAAGCCTTGGAGACAGGATCGAGGGTACGCCCAGATGAGCTGCTGCTGCCCCTTGCTCTCCTGCTTGCAAGTCTCATGGGGACCCTTCGAGTTTAGGAGGAAATAAAAAGTTCATGCCAGAGAAGGGGCATGGCATGCTCTAGAGCAAACCCACACTGAGTCTTTGTCTTGAGAGTGTTTATTTTTCTTTTGCAGGTGAGAATTTTAGGGGAGGGTTTCAGCAGAATATTCATCAGCTTTCCAGGCACATTTTTAATATGCTGATGCATTCAAATGAGCAAATAACGGAATTTGGGATTATTCTTTGGTCTGCTTTATTGTTTTACTTTTATCTTTGGTCTGTCTGGCTGTAATCAGGTTTTTGTAATTTGTTCTTATGATTCCACCCATCCTTGAGCTTAGCTGACATAAACGACACTTTCTGGGTCCCTGTTCTCTTATCTCCCTGACCAGAGTGATTGAAGCTCTGTATCTGGTTATGAGGGGGAATATAAAACATTTGCTCTTAAGTGTCTTTGATTATAGAAGATAAGGTCTTCCGATTCACTACAACTTACACGCTGTTACTTACAAGCTGGAAGTTTTTCAGATTGTTTGTCCTTGTTTAATCATCTTGTCTTAGTTTCCCCATTCCGCTTGCCAAGGAATTTCCCTAGTTTCTTATTACTATCCTGCCTCAATTTCTTTAAAACTAATATCAAATCCAAAAATGCTTCACTCTTCCCCCTACAATACATTTTACATACATCAACCTCTGTACTGGATTTTTCAAACCAGTTATTTATTGTATCTCTGCCCCTGCCAAGTATAAATAGGATCTCTCTGAAGAATTTAAATGGACTAATATGGCCAAAATCTTTTAAGTAGCCAACACCATATCGCACTAATGAAAAGGGCAGGAATAGGAAATCTTGGTGAAGAGGACAGAATAAAGAAACGTAGGCTGCTCTCTCTATGGGGCACACCCGTGCCTTTCACCATCCCCTTCATCCAGGCCCAGTTTCCTCGCCTCTTCTTCCCGAGCTCCAAAGGCCCGTCTTTTGCCTGTCACTTGTTCCTTATGCCTATTTCTTCTGTGCCTCACTTCTACCTCTGTGACTTTCTAAATAAACTTTCTCTTATAGTTTGAAAAAGTATATATAATAAAGCAAAGACAATTAATTTGTATTTTGCAATTTGTCCATGGCTCTGCAAGTTGGTACATTTGAGTCTTTGGTTCAGTTAACCTCTCATGGGGTTAAGCCAATTCCATTGGTTATTTTCAAAGGATAAAACAAATTTTGCAGTTAATTCTTTCAGATTTAATAAGTTTTGCCCTGCAGAAAAAAGAGGGCTATATAGTTTTATTGTTTTTAATAGTTTTTGTATTTTCCTCCTTATACTCTCTTCTGCCTCCTCATTATTATTATTTTATCCTCACCCAAGGATATTTTTTCATTTCTTTTAGAAAAAAAGGGATAGAAAGAAACACTGATGTGAGAAATAAATATCAATTGGTTGCCTCTCATATATGCCCCAGACCAGGAATCCAACCCCTGACCTACAAATGTGCCCTGACTGGGTATTGAACCTGCGACCCTTGATTACTGAAAGATGCTCCAACCAACTGAGCCACACTGGCCAGGGAAAGAGAGGTGTATAGTTTTAGAGAGGGGTATAGAGATAATATCTTTTTAGAAAACTAAAGTCAGGATTTAAAAAAAAAATTCTGACTACATATAAAGTCCTAGAATCTTGGTCCCACTCTCTTAAATCCTAATCAGAAGTATGCAGGTGGTGAAAAGGATCATGTGAATCTAGGAGCCATAAAAAAGCCCTACTGTCAGATACCAAAGGCTATGTACAAAAATGTTTCAGGATCAGATACTAGAAAACGAGCTACTGTGACAGGTAGCTAAAGATACAACAATTTATACAAAGTAATTGGGATCAAAATGGCTAATTTTAACAAATAACCTTGGTGAAGGTTCTGAGTTAACCAGAGTAAAAACTCTAAATATCAAATACGTCCATAATTAGTATTAGGAAACATACAGAATGTCTCTAACTCTATTCCCATGGCAGGTCATACAATTCTACCATAACTGTAAAGCCAATTTTTATAAGATGGCTCTATCTGGATGCTACCCATACCCACCACACCCCTTCAAAAAAAGTGAAAACCCTCAGTTGCCTGTAAATGAAGGGTCTCTATTCTTCTTAAGAGCCCCAGAGCTCTCCTTACTCCTCTCCTGGTCTCCCTTTGCTAGTTCAGTGTTCCTCCTACTTCTCTCTGAGCACTAACATTTCATACCTTCCAGCTTCTGTCGTTCACCACTTCTTCAACGTTCAGTTCTGACTGCATCCATTTCAACTGCAAGAAAGGAAAAGCAAATTTAAGTTATGAAAAGTGAAATTAAAAAACTAAAATCAAACTCCATAATGTTTTCCCAACAAAACCAGCCACTGCTTCTGCAATCTTTGTTAACAGTATGTCTTGGAACCTTCTTTGACACACCTAACCCATTCTCCCCATAACTAGTCAATTGTTAAATCTTATGTTACCCATGATTCTCAAGATTTTCTGCATAGTAGAATCACTCTGAGAGCTTAAAAAAAAAACAACCCTCAAATTCCCAGTAGTTCACAGAAGAAATAAAAATGGCCTATAAGCATAAATGGGCACAACCTCTACAAAGGACAATTTGGTAAGATTTTAAAAGATCTATAAATTCACCTGTCCTTGAATTCAACAATGCCAGTTATAGTTATTGATCCTATAATATAGAATTGCAAAGACAGCACAGAGGAACAAAAAAGGGGCAAGGAAATGGCAATCTGATTTGGATTATAAAAAAGAATTGGGGCAGGGGAGGGAAACAAGAGAGAAAGGGAGAGGAATATATAAGGCCCAAGTGATCTTGAAAGGCATGAGTTTTTCATACCTTGATCATACAGCTCCAGAGGTCTCAGGCAAAAACGCTAAAGTCTTTCTAATTTTCTTTATAACTGCCAACCTAATCATAAAAGTAGCCAATTCCATTGCCAGGCTCAGAGGGCAGGGCCCATCAATCTCCTAGTCACTTTCTGGTTAGAGAAGCCTGAAAGGAGTCAGCAATTCTGGGAAAAAGGCTTGAAAATATTCAGGAAGATTTGGAGAAAAAAGCATGATTTACAGCTGGAGACAGCTAAGAGGTTAAAAGCCCGGATGGTGAGTCAGCGAACTAGGCCAAAGAACCTACCAACATGCCCCAGACCAGGAATCCAGCCCATGCGAGGATCCGGCCAGGATTATAGCTCAGGCAGGAGGTTTGAGAATCGTGCATGTAACACTAATAAGACTGGAACTTGGCACTGATCCAATGGCTCCCCGATTCAGAACTGTTGTCAGAGTGTGGGCCAGGACACAGGACTTAAACTGGAACAGGGGTCGGGGCTGCCTTTCTGATGGCCGCAGCTGTGCTGTCAAGGAGCAGTGAGCCTGAAGAAACACATCTGCACACACCAAAGCGACTGTGGTTTCAGGTTTTACTTAACTGTACAGACCAGAAATCATTAAAGTGTCAGTGTTGTCAGAGCCTGGACTGTCTTCCAAAGAAGTAACAACTTCAAACAACGTGACACTAAGACAAGTCTTCACAACTGATCTGAAATATTTAAAGGGATTTCATGTGGGTTTAGACCTATCCTATACAGCTCCAGAGGGAACATTAATAAGGAGTAGTAATTACCCATTAAAGGGATGCAGATTTTCACAATATATAAGAAAACCTTTGAATAATTACAAAAAGAGAGTGTACTGCCACAGAAGCTAATGTGTCCCCAGCCCCCTTAAGTAGTGGTTAACGAAAGGTGGAAACCACTGGTTGGGAGAACCTGTCTTTGGTGCCGAAAAGGTAGGGGACAGACGGCTGGCGGAGAGGACTAATGTAACAAATATGGAGTCCCAGAGCCCCAAAAAGGAAAGGAAAGGAGCTGCTACTTTGTATCAGCCAATGAGCTAGCTTGTTTAATCCTCATCAAAAAAGAAAAACAAAGTTATTAAGTACCAACTATATTTTACAAACTGAAAATCAGAAATCAGAGCAATTTACAAGGTTACAAAGCCACCAAGTGATGGATGGGATTTATTTCCTTAGAGCTGTGTGCCTTTATAGCCCACATTTTTTCTGTTCTTGAACATTGCACATATTACAGCCAATTCCTGATAAAATTTCAATTGCACCAACATAATGCTTCCTTTGAGCTGGTTCTTTTTGAAAAGGCTCTGGGTCTTAAACAGCTAAACTTCCTCTCAAAGGCCACTAATAGGTGACAGCAGTTATACAGTTCCAGCAAGGAATGTACTTTTTCTGAGTTAAAAATTCAGGTAAAGAACTGGCACCTCTGTATATAAATAAAACATGTCCACTAAAGTAACCAAAATTTGACTATCCGTCACAACTTAATGTAAAAACCCTGACTGAATCCCGAGTCAGAAGAGAGGGGTTAAAGTCCTAGTTCTACCACTTACTAGTTTGTGATTCTGAGGGTGTCTTTTAGTATCTCTGAGCCTCAGCTTCCTCATACAGAAAATGAAGAGGTAGAGCAGGAACATCTCTTAAGAGTTGTCTCTTTCTAATTCCATAATCTCCATAGCAAACTTAAAGAATAAACATAAAAAATTCAACTTTCCTCATTTGCTTCAGTACTATTCATGGCCACCCTACAGTCCTCCTATATGATACCAGGCGAGAAAGCTACCTGTCTTTCCTAACTCACTGACTGGTCTTCCTGGTAATTCCTTCTGGGCCCTAAAAGCACAGGGCAGAACTGGGGGTGGAGCAAAGTGTGTGACACTCTAAAAACACACACTGGTTTTTGAACTTTGCTCTCCATTAACGAGAGTCACTTTATTCTTTGGCCTAATTTGCAAATAGTGATTTTTTAGTTTCTGATTTAACAGCCCTGCTCTGCAGTTTTGTCAATAATACCTTCAAGAGTCTGTTAAAATCCAAAATCCAAAAATAACTACATTTGAACCAGGGTTATGTAAATGTTCTCTAGGCCTTCATAAAGATTAACAGTAAAGTAAGATGACCATAAAGCTCTATAGAGCACAAGTTCACTGTCGGAGGAACCCATCACTGCCTGACGAATAGGCAGGTACGGAATAAGGGCTGAAGCAGTGTCATGACTAAAGACAGCCGCGAAGGCAGTGGAGGACTCCTGTACCAGTGTGACACACTGCATCAGTGGGATGGCTCAGAAAGTGCGCACTCACTGTGCGCAGCTAAAAGAACAAAGGCTTGAAAGAGATGACAAGGTGCCTATTCAGTGCTTGGCTACATCTACCAAACAAAGGGTAAACTTTATAACTGTTCAGTATGAAAAACAGGATTCCATCCCACAGTGGATTTTTACTCACCAGACATGCAAGGATCAGTAAATCATGTGTTGTGACATCTTAAAATACAGACATGACGGATAATCACACAGTGATCATAAAAAAAATGCTTGTATTTAGGAAATAACCAACATATGCAGGGCTAAAGGGGTACAATATACCCAAGACACTCTAAAAATGGCTCAGGAAAAAAAAGTGTGTACATATGTGTGGAAGGGAAAGGAAGACTAGGAAATAATGAGGCAAGGATAGAGGAAAAAGGCCGGCTAAAGAGAATACATTGTGACGCAGGTGCGGCAAAATGTAAACAAATAGGTAAATATAGGTGAAGACTACATGGGAGTTACTGGCACTATTTTTACAACTTTTCTGTAAGTTTGAAATTATATCAAAATAAAGTTACCCCTTAAGTGAACCTCAAGAAACAACAATGCATTCCACATAATAAAATATGGTACATATACATTTCAACTGTTTTCTTGACATGTCACATTTAAGGGCCATCCAAAAGTGTTCTACTTCATTAACTATACTCTGAGGTCCACACCCTACCTACACTACAGCTGACTCTGACAGATACAGTCTCCTCTGACATAGCACTCAGTGGGCACTTACTGTTTCCTTTACAGCTAAAGCTGTAGGAATGGAAGATGAAATGGAAACAAAGTCATGTTGAACAAGAGCCAAAGACCCATAACAACTTCTCCCCAGTAGAGAGATAAATTATAATCAGGTTCTAGTGTATCTGGGTATATTAAATTGTACTATATTTTTATGGATGCAGAGTGTAATGTCCTCAAGTTAATTATGTGTATTACATCTCAGCAGATAAAACCAGAGATATATATTTTCAAAATGTAAATACATTTAAGAGATGTTTCTTCTCAGGTCAAGCCTCAAGGCACAGATACAGATGTGATTTCCCTAGATTTCCTGATGTGGAATTGGCCTGAATTAAGCCTTTTACATTTAATGGCAGAATATATAAAAGAATGAAAATAAACAATGATTACACTGCGTATGTTCATGAAAGTCACATTAGCTTACCAATTTACCATTGGATACTTTCAAATGTAATAAAATAAAGTCCATTAAAAATAAAGTTTTAGTTTCCTGATTATTTTTTTAAAGTAATGATCATATCTTACTCTACATTTTTCATAATAAAACTGCTTTTATTTTGAAGGGTAAGTTTGGAAAAACTTTGCCTCAGAAATGTAAGCCTTATTCAACTTACCTTTGTCTGTTCTTTTCTAAGTTGCTTTAATAATGTTAAATCATCCAGATTCTTTTCTCTCTCTTCTCGTAGATGTTTTACTACTGATGAAGTCTGAGCTATACAATTTTTTATGAATCTGTCCCTACTGGCATGAGCTTCCATCAACTAAAAGAACAAAGGAGTGAAAAGAGAAAAATCATACCAATTTATTACATTTTAGTTTTCTTAATCCTTATTTTTAGAGTATAGAAATGTAATGCTTTCCAAAACGAGCTTTAAAAAATTAAATCTATAGAAGAGCAGATCGTGCTCGTCAGCTAACCCACCTAAAAAAGGACGAAAGGAAGTAGCTCTGCCAGTGGTTGGGCTTGTCTTCTTCCTCAGCGAGCTGCCGGCGCTTCCTGCCCCTTTTCCCGAACCCCTGCTCCCGCATACAGGATGCCCACCCTGGGCCTATCATCTCATTCTCTTTTTCCCTGCCATCCCCCTCTCTCCTCATTATTCCATCTATGTGTTCCCTGACCCCACACCCACTCTCACACATCTTCTGGACCACTTTCTATTGGTATTCTTCCCCTCTTCTTTGGTTCTCTCATGCTTTCTATGGTCTCACGTTGTCACCAAGTGCAAGAAATTATAAAGTAAGTGATGTAGAGAAACTCTTAGTTATATATGGAAAAACAAAGAAAGTTACATTTACCTATGTAAGAGCCCTTTTTAAGATTTTAAAGTATTAATAAGACCAAATTATGTACAAAGTACAGAGTATTAATTCCATCAATTGTGTGTGCTAATTGAAAGGACATCTGACAGAGCAATTCTTTGCTAACCTTCATGTCAATGTAACAAATCCAATATAACAATTCATGTCTATTTTCTGCCTTGATTCCAGCAGTACGATAGTCGAGTACCAAACACTCCTGTGATCATAGCCAAATTTTGATGATACCCCCCAAATTTGGGGGACGGGAAAAGCAAACACTAAAGTGATATATAATCACCATTCTAATGGTACATAAATAACAGTGGTTCACCTCCAACTAAAATGTGTTAACTTGTTCCATGTAACTATATTTCTGCTTCTCTCTGAAGAGAGAATAACCTAATGCAATAGTTACAGTAGGCATAACCTAACCATTTTATGTACATGTTGTGTGTGTACCTAGATAGATAAAGTACAGGACTAACTTAATTAACCATTCTATAAGCATTCTTCATATGCTACTAGAAGTATATCTCTTAAATGATCATATTAGGACCCTACGGTTGAGAATGACTGTCTAATGTTCACCAGGAAAGAATAAGCCTTTGCATTTCTAGAGTGCAGTACTAAAAGTGCATTAATTATAAATCATACCCATGGAAAGAGAAGGAAAGTAAAAGTAAACTGCCTAAAAGACATTAATCCCACCTATGGCAAATTTCTCTAATATGCTCATATTTTTCATTGTAACATATGATTCCCAAGGACAGTTCAAGGCCCAAATTTCATTCATTAACACACTACTTCTTTGCTTGCTTACTCTTTCAGGTATAATTATAGGATATTAAAGGAACTACTGAGGATAGGGAACTACTCTTCCCAAAAGATAATAAAAACAGAAGTGAAGTAAGGGACTTATGGCCAAGATGGAAGTGGTAGACACAATGTGCCTCCTCGCACAACCAAAAGAAGGACAATGACAAATTTTAAAACAAAAGCAACCAGAACTGACATAAAATCAAACTGTATCGAAGTCCAACAACCAAAGAGTTAAAGAAGACACATTCATCAGGACCAGTAGGATGGGCGGAGTCAGGCAGCCCCAGGTGGAGAGGACTTGCAGCAAAGGGGCAGCTAGCAGACCAGGGCGCACAAAGTGGTGGCTGGCCAACTCAGCGAGGCAGCAGACTGTGGAGCAGAATGCGGTGCGCAAGGTGGATGGCGGCCCTAGTGGTCCCACATTTGTGCACAGATAAACCAGGTGAAACTGGGGAGTGGGACAGACTGCACAACCCAGGGTCCCAGCACAGGGAAATAAAGCCTCAAACCTCTGACTGAAAACACCTGTGGGGTTGAGGCACCAGGAGAAACTCCCAGCCTCACAGGAGAGGTTGTTGGAGAGACCCACAGAGTCCTAGAACATACACAAGCCCAACCACCCGGGAATCAGCACAAGAAGGGCCCAGTTTGCTTGTGGAAAGTGGGGGAAGGGACTGAAATCTGGCAGAGAGCAGAGCAAGTGCCATTGTTCCCTCTGGGGCCCCTCCCCCACATACAGCACCACAATAGTGACGTGGGTTAAACCCCACCCTGGTGAACGCTTAAGGCTCCGCCCCTCACTACGTAACAGGCATATCAAGATAAAAAAATGGCCCAAATGAAAGAACAGATCAAAGCTCCAGAGCAAATACAACTAAGTGACGAAGAGATAGCCAAACTATCAGATGCACAGTTCAGAACACTGGTAATCAGGATGCTCATAGAATTGGTTGAATTTGGTAGCAAATTAGATGAAAAAATGAAGCCTATGCTAACTGAAATAAAGGAAAATGTATAGGGAACCAATAGTGATGGGAAGGAAACAGACTCAAATCAACGGTGTGGACCAGAAGGAAGAAAGAAACATCAAATCAGAAAAGAATGAAGAAACAAGAATTCAAAAAAATGAGAGGTAGTTAGGAACTTCCAGGGCACCTTTAAACATTCCAACATCTGAATCATTGGGGTACCAGAAGGAGAAGAGGAAGAGTAACAAGTGGAAAAGTTATTTGAACAAATAATAAAGGAGAACTTCCCCATTCTGGCAAAGGAAATCGACTTCCTGGAAGTTCAGAAAGCTCAGAGAGTCCCAAAGCAGTTGGCAGAGGAACACACCAAGGCACAGCATAATTACATTAGCCAGGGTAAAAATGAAGGAGAGAATCCTAGAATCAGCAAGAGAAAACAAGGCAGTCACCTACAAAGGAGTTCCCATCAGACTGTCAGCTGATTTCTCAAGAGAGACCCTGCAGGCAAGAAGGGGCTGGAAAGAAGTATTCCAAGTCATGAAAGGCAATGACCTACACCCAAGATTGCTCTATCCAGCAAAGCTTTCATTTAGAATGGGAAGGCAGATAAAGTGCTTCTCATGCAAGGTCAAGTTAAAGCAGTTCATCATCACCAATCCCTTATTATATGAAATGTAAAAGGGACTTATCTAGGAAAAAGAAAAGAGAAATATATACAGTAAAATGACAGCAAACTCACAGTTATTAACCACACCTAAAACAAAACCAAAAGAAACTAAGCAAACAACTAGAACAGGAACAGAACCACAGAAATGGAGATCACATGGAGGGTTAGCAACAGGGAAGTGGGAGGAGGAAAGAGGGGGAAAAGGTACAGAGAATAAGTAGCATAGATGGTAGGTAGGAAATAGACAGGGGGAGGGTAAGAATAGTATGGGAAATGTAGAAGTCAAATAACTTCTATGTATGACACATGGACATGAACTAAAGGGGGGTAATGTGGGTGGGAAGGGGTGTGGAGGGGAGTGAAGGGGGTAAAATGGGACAACTGTAATAACATAATCAGTAAAATATATTAAAAAAAAAAAAAAGAAGTGGAGTAAGTTGCCCAAGGTAACATAGATTTGAATTCAGGTATTCTGAAACCTAAATCTACAGACTCAAACCATAGGCTCTATTTATGGCCTTGCTTAACTCCTGTGGCTCATAATGTGTTTTGTGGGTTAATTGAAAGGGAAGGATAAGAGGACTGGGGAAAAAACAGATATTTATTGTGTACTGACCAGGTGCTTCACGTATATTAACTTGTTTTGATTCACATGTATGAACTCCCAACAACTCTGTAAGATTACTGTGGCAGTGTACTAAGAGTTTGTTATTCACCAGCCAATTAGAAAGTTTTGGGTCTTTAAGGTTCAAGATTAATATTTTAGGCCAATGTTTAAGATAACATTATCACAAAGAGGAAGCCAATGTTGTTTATTTAACTGCTCATTAACTAAATAAATGTTTAATTTTGCCTAAAAAAAGAGAATAAAAAGAAAAGAACCATCCTCAGAGTTAGGAAGCGCTCCCTGTTGCTGTGTAAGACTGGAGAAATAATTTGCATTTCCAGGCTTCGGTTTCCCCTTTTGTAAAATTATGGATTATGAGAAAATAATCACTAATATTTTTTCTACCTTTAATATTTAGGGGCAACACAACTCAATCCACTGCTAAGATATCAGCTGCTATTTAATCACTTTGATATCTTGTCTAGCCCCTCAGCAACTGGTGAAATAATACTAGAACCAACTAGTAGCATGTAACAAAACAGTTTCATTTTTCTATCTGCATTTTGGTTAATTATTTTAAAAGTAATTTTTTTATTTTTAATATTTTAATTTTATTTTTCAATTAGAGTTGACATTTTTCTATCTTCACTTTAAAACCAAAGTTGAATTTTGTACATTTTCCTTTCATTCTCTCTCATCACGAAGTTTCCTTCTTTGGTTGGGCTTTCCTCCACTATTCCCCTCTTAACTTGCCTCTTTCCTGTGGATACACTTCTGGCTGCAGCCCACCCTCATACCCTCACCTGCTTACTTCTCCTTCAGATTAGCCCCCTTGGAACCCATGCGATGTGAAGAGAAATTACTGGCCAAAACATCTTTTACTCTGTATTATCAATTATTTTAATCTGGTTTTCAATGACCATCCTGCACTAAAATTCAGAATTAAGAGCCATGTAAAAGAGGAACATGCATGGGCTTTTTGTACATCTATGTCAAAGGAATGAGAAGGCCTGACAGCTAGAACAGTGATCCCTCACCTATCTCGGGAGTTACATTCCAGAGACCCCCACAAGAGGTGAAAATCCCCGAAGTAGCGGCGTTATATTTATTTTATTATTTATATATATTTTAAGGCTTTATAAACCCTTCTCACACTCCTATAAACCTTTCCCACACTCTCATAAACACTTCATATGCTCTTAAACATGTTCTACACTCTTAAACCTATGTAATTTTAACAACATAAAATTCACGGGTTTTTAAAGCCCATGATACAGTGAAGCCACAATAAGTGAACCACGATATAGTGAGAGACGACTGTAATAGATTATGTGACAGGAGCCTACCAGAGAAAAATAAAGCAATAAATCAGGCTTAGCTCACTAGTAATTCAGATGCTGGAGGATCTGGTCACATGAGAATTGTTTCATATACATGTGCTTTCATATATAAGTGCTTACTACAGGAAATAAGGCAACACTTATTAAGAAACTTGGTAAAAGGCAAGGAAGGCCTTTGGTTACAAGAGAAAAACACTGAGCAATAGGCATATCATAACCGCACTTCCTTTGATTTGGGGTAAGCAATTTTGAAACGAAAACATGGGGTGAGGTAGGAGAATGATTTCAAACTAGTCTAAAGGGTATTTGTCTAGGACTTTGCAGTTTTATTTTATCCAAACTTTGAAAACTTCTTTCAGTCTAAAATTTCACATGTCTTCTAATCATTATTTTAAAACAGTGTTTTCAACTTTAAGGGAAATATAATGCCAACAGTTTTCCTCATTATAGTTTTTCTGGTATTTTTCTTTCTAAAACAAGGGTTGATTCTAAATAAATTCTACATTAAATTCTAGTTTCCCAAACATAATTTATTTATTTATTTATTATCCCCCATAATTAATTTTTTTAAACTTGACAATGACCCTTGGTTTAACTATCATTAAAATCAAACAAAAATTAGTTTTTGTCATAGCATTTTTTTGTGTTTTAAATCTTCTAGAACTTCTGACAAAATGATGCAAGGAAGCATACCATTTAAGTATATATTCCAAAGGTTCATTATATTAAAGAGATGCCTTTAAGAATAAATCCATCACTATGACACCAATAATAGTTTTGCATTTGTAAAGCACTATTCCAAATTCACAGACTTTAAATTGCTCAGGATTGATTTTTATGTTTACCTTGAAAACAAATAAAGCTAGAAAAATTTCATAGATTGAAGGGAAAATGCTCTAATATAGAGATCTCATTAAAATTATTTTACTTTTACCAAGAGTATACTTCTAAGACTTGGAATTACTAAAACGAATGCTTCATAAGAGCCTTGCTGTTCATCTCCTACGAAGAAGCATTACCATTAGAGTGTAAATACTCCTTCACTGGCTACAGAAGAAAGGATCAAGGTTACTGTAAGTGGCTTAGACACTTCAGAGTTCCACTTCTTAACTAAGACATATTTGAGGGAACTCAGTGGTACTTTATTAGCACAGGCACTGTGCTGCAGGCCTGATCCCTGGCACGAAACTACTTGATAAACAATCCTTTGTATGATGTTCATGTTGTTGGATCCTTCTAGGATACCAGCAGAGAAAGACAAAGACAAACAAAGGGGAACCAAAAGGAATTATCTTGTAGTATAGGCTTCCCTCACCAGGTGAGTGTTCTAGGAACCCATCTGTAATCAGAGTACCAGCTGGTCTTGTTGTGAGAGGCTGCCCCAGCTTCAGTGATTTTTTTGAAGGTTCTCTTTGAAGACTCTTTCAATGTGCCCATTTCATGATGGGTGATTTACAAGCACACCCGCCCACCTCACTGAGTGTTCAGCAATTTTTGACCAAAACCAGCAAGACTCCCGTACCCCACCCTCCTTATTCAACCAATCTAGTCCCACGCTACTTTTTTTGTTTTCCCCAGATGAAAGTCCTCAAAGGGAAATGTTTTGCCAACATGGAGGAGGTGACTCAAAAAACAGCAGAAGCACTAAATGCCATCAAAATCGACAAGTTCAAAAATTGTTTTGTGCAGTGGAAAAAACATCTGGATGGTGTCTTACATCAACTGGAGAGTACTTTGAAGGTGACTGAAGTTTAAATGTGTAAGAATATATACACAATTTTTCATAAATATATTCTGATGTTTGGGATGTTCCCCCTCGCACATAAGAATATCCAAAACAGAAAGGTTTCAAATTTAGTATGCAAAACTATCCTGGTTCAAATATGGATAGGAAATAACATAGCAGTAACTAAATAGAAGCATCAAGAATTCTTATGTAAAACATTTAGTACAGTAAGTACTTTATATTAACTCATTTAATGTTCTTAACAACCTTATGAATGAGGTTTTATTATGATACTATTTTACAAAAAGGAGGCTGAGGCAAAGGGGTTATATAACAAGTTCAAGGAAATCCACTGAGGAAGCAGCAGAGGTGAGATATAATCTAGATCTGGAATCTATGTGGTTAAATCACTATAATATAAACCTCTAAATTAATAAAAAGATTGAAAATAACTGAATAGAGTTCCTCAGACAGAGCTACCCAGAGAAACAAGTGAACAGTCAAACAACCTCATAATAAACCAGGACTAGGCCACGTGCTCCCTACTTCTAATACTGGATTCTACTCATTAAAGCCCACAACCCTGTGATCTTCTCAAGACACTAGAATTACCAACTACTCGGTAAAATAACATACTTTCATATGGAAGAAAAACAAAAATAGCTGCAGTTAATAGTTTGAATTTAACTGATATCAATAAGCTCATCCAAAATTGATTTTTTTTTCATAATTGAGAAATGGACTAGAGGTTTTAAGTAACACCTTCTTTATAAGGCACTGAATCCAAATAGTAGTCTTGCAGTAGAGCCTAAAAAACAAATAGCACTTGAACTTTAGCTTCCAAGTTAAAGACAAGATGTAAGAAACTATAAAAAATATTTAGCTATGTCATTATTTCCTTCTGCTTTTAGAAATTAAAGAGAGGAATAAAGGGAATCTTTAAGAGTCGATGAAAAAATACATACTTGAGAAACCAAAGTCTCAGGAAGAAACAATTTATCTGTGACTCTCCTATCTCAACTGCCAACTGCTTCTATTCCCCTTCCTGATGAGTGTGGGAAGAAAGAAGACAGAAGGCATTAAGGGTTTTTTTACACCAGCTCTCTGGCTTCTTAGATTGTTTCATTCTAAACCAATGCTCTAGACCCACTGTTTTACTTGACTGTTTGTACTTTCTCCTTCATTCCTTTGTGCATAAATTAAAGGCTTCCCAAGAGGGGGCCAAAAAACCACCACTCCCGTTCCTTAGAACCATTCCTTCACAGACTTGTGCATACTACCACACATTTCTTCAGTCTGTAGAAATTAGATCAAAACTTTTAGTTATCTGACCACTTCCCCACTAATGAACATTTAGGTTGTTTCCAACTATAATCACAATTTAGGCCATTCAGACTAAGCCTGTAGTCCAGGTTCTGTTCCTATCAGCCTTTAATCTTCCATTAGTAATTCAAAGATCTTTTCTAGATTGCAATCTAGAAATAAAACAGCATGTAGAAGGCTCATAATTTCGACTAAGAAAACACAGACAAATTTCAGGTCTAAGCCCCTCAGGTGTGGGCAAGAAAAAACACGAAGGTGTCCTTCTTTTATCCACAGTTTAATTATACACTTATCAAATGAGTTCTTATTTTGCCTGCAAAGAAAGACATAAAAGCAGCACAAAAGAAAGACTCAAAAGATATACTTACAGAGTCATAAAGTTGTTTACAGGTTTGGCTGGCATCAATTTTCCCTGCAAAGGAAGCTGTTGGAACCGTAGTGTTTAATTCATGTACTATTCTGTCATCAATCGTCCTCATCACCTTGAGTAATTCCTATACATATTTAAAACAAAAGAATAACCTGAATGGAAAATGAAGTGATAAAAAAAGCATTTAAACAAACAAAAAAAATAAGCTCCTTGATACATTACAACCCTGTACATTAGGAGTGGGGAAACCATGCCAAATACAGTGCAACCACAAGAAAATCTTCATTATAAGAATTATGTACTAGTAATCCTAATAACGGGATCATCTTAAGGTTAAGATTGTTTTATTCATTTTTAAACCCACAGTACTTAGTAGGCAGTGTGTGCTCTTCCTGTTTCCAGTATACAGACTGTAGTTCTAATGAGCTCGATTCCTGCAGCATAACTGCTTATCCCATTTCCTCTCTATCATTCTAAAATGTGGTACTAGGTAGAGAACTTCTGGAAAGATAACACAAGAAACTATCAGTAGTGGTTAATGTGCAGAAATCAATCTATACCCTTTTAGGCTAAATTAATCTATGTATATCCGTTTAGACTTTTCATTTTTTACTATGGCTGTGTATAATTTTTGTAACAAAAATAAGTAAAACCAAATATGCTGCTAGAGAAAGGATCAAACCTCTTTATGGCTTTCTTGCTTACAGAACAAATGAGAATCAGTCTCACCTTCCTTAGTAATCATAGCTCACACTTCTCCCCAAAAAGGCTCCAATTCTCAAACCAACCAAAAGAAAAATGATTACAAAAGGGAAGAAGACTTCGCCTCTGGAGAGAACAGGCCTACCCAGCACACACAGCCCTCCTCCCGACCTTCCGTCACCAGAAAAACTGGGCATCGGCTACTAGAAGAGGTATGTATAGTGTGCCTTTCTCTTTCTTTTAAAGTTATTTTCTTACATTTGTTCTCCCACCTACAAACAAACAAATGTGATCTCTGTAAAATTATCAAGTAGTACTAGCAACAGACTTATTACTGAAAACATCCAAGTTCACATTCAATATTAATGTGTATTAAAAGCAACTTGCTCGATCCCACTTCCCTCCGCATAACATTGTATTTCTTTCCTTTGCTGACTGAATCCATATCTGAAACCAGCTCCTTTCTTTCTTCATGCATTTGTTAAAATAAAAAAACTTTTACTGCCATTAAAGCATTACACATTCGTTTCAGAAAAATTAGAAAATCCTAAAGAAAATAAAAATCATTCAGTTAACCATTACCAATATTTTTGTCCCTTTAGTTTTTCTATATCTATGAATACTTTTATAAAATTAAGATACTATGTAACATTTCAAAGTCCAGTTTTATGACATTATACTATAAGCATTCTGCCCTTATTAAAAACACATTGAAGACATTTTTAATAGTTGCATTAATATTCTATCCTGTGGAGGTACCACAGCTTATCCACTTCCCCATTAATGAACATTTAAGTTGTTTCCAATTATATTAACCATTTGGGCTACCTAGACTAAGTCTGGAGTCCAGGTTCTGTTCCTATTAGTCTTTAATCTTTCATTAGTAATTCAAAGATCTTTTCTAGATTTCAAGCTAGAAATAAAACAGCTCATAGAAGGCTCATAATTTCAACTAATAAAACATGGGTAAATATCAGGTCCAAAACCAACTTCACTGTCTTATTCCCTCGTCTTGTACCTATTTTTGATCTTCCTGTATCTATTTCTGGCAATAGCACCATCATTCTCTGTACACTTGAACTCTTAGAGGAGTTCATCTCAACATATTTACTAAGGAACTTTAAATAATGTTTTATGTACACTGGAGGATATATCACGTCAGTAAGTGGCAAGTTCCAAACAAATGATGGTTAGCACTATTTAGACTGTCAAAAAATAGCTAAGTAGTAAACAGGGACCTACCTTGCCAACTCTACCTCCTACAATTTTACTATTAAGAAAAAATAAAACCGAACTGATCTTCTTAGGCTAATGTTTAAGTTATACCTTTTAGATAAAGCTTTCCTTGATTGAGAGGCCTCAACAATTTTTTTTATCCTCACCCGAGGACATTTTTTAAATTGCTTTTAGAGAGGAAGAGAGAAACATCAATATGCAAGAGAAACATGGATTGACTGACTCCTGTATGTGCCCACCAGGGACTGATCCTGCAACCTAGATATGTGTCTACGTGTCTTCACAGGGAATCAAACCCACAACCTTTCAGTTACAGGACAACACTCCAACCCACTGAGCCACACCGGCCGGAGCTCTTTCTTTTCTATCTATTTACTTTTTACCCTCACTGGAGGATATTTTTTCATTGCTTTTAGAGAGAGAGAGGGAGAGAAACATGGATGTGAGAGAGAAACATCTATCGGTTGCCTCCTCATATGCGCCCCAACCAGGGATCAAACCCCGAACGGAGGTATGTGCCCTGACTAGAAATCGAACATGTGACCCTTCAGTCTACAGGAAGATGCTCCAACCAACTGAGCCACAGCAGCCATGACAGGGCTGTCGCACCATTCTAAACACCAGGACAACAGTGGTTAATAGAACAGACAAGCTTTTTGCTCTTATGGAACGAAATTCTCAGAGGACACAGATAATAAGTACAATATGCAAGGCAATTTCAGTATAGTCCCCCCTTATCGATGGGGGAATTCATTCCAAGACCGCCCCCCCCCCACCCGCAGTAGATGCTCGAAACCATGAATAGTACTGAATCCTATATATTCTGTGTTTTTCCTTAATACATACATACCTTTTCACTTAAAGAAAGCACTTTACAGCTTCTCTTTGACATATCTGAACTGCCAGCACTGCTACTCTTATGCTTTTGGGACATTATTAAGAGTTACTTGAATGCAGGCACTGCATTATCAAGACAGTAGATCTGAAGGCCAAGGCAGCTACTAAACGACTAACTGGCAGGCAGCAAAGAGATAACTCATTGATTCATGTCCTGGGTGGGATGGAGCAGGCTACTCAGAAAGGTGTGCAATTTAAAACTTATGAACTATTTCTTCCTGAAATTTTCCATTTAATATTTTTGGACCATAGTTGACTGCAAGTAACTGAAAGTGGAGATAAGGGGTTTCAGAAAACACACTAAGGTAACTGGATGAAGAATGACTGGGTGAGTGAATGGCCTACCTTAGCATGGAGATCAAGAAAGGCCTCTCCGAGGATGAAGCATTTGGGCTGAGACCTAAATATGAAGCCAACTATGAGAATGTCCAGGGAAATAAGTAAAAAAACCTATGAGGCAAGAACAAACTTTGGCATAAAGAACTAAAAGGAGTAGGCTAGGAGTGAGTAAGAAAGTAGTATGAGGTGAGGTTAGAGTAGAAGAAAATGAAGGACAACAGAAACCATGGAAACCATCAAGGATTCTGTTTTAACAGTAACAGTTTTAGGCAAGGGGATGGCATAAATGACTAATTTTTAAAAAATAACTTTGGCTGCTATTTAGACAATGGACTACAGAGAGAGGAATGGAAACAGGACGACCATTTAGCAGACTACTATGGTAGTCTAGGCAAGATAAAGTGAGTTTGATAATGTGGTAGCAGAATTAGGGAGTGGAAGCTGGATTCAGGATATATTTTGAAAACAGAGCTGGTAAGACTTCATGATGAATTGTTGACACTATCACAGATGTCCCCATTTTCTTCCCCTTTGCCTGCCTCCATCCAGCCCCCACTCTCCTTTCCCTCTGGCCATCACCACATTGTCGTCAGTGTCTATGGGTTATGCATGTATGTTCTTTGGCTAATCCCCTCACCTTCTTTCATTGAGTCCTCCCATTCCACCCCTCTCTGACAGATGTCAGTCTGCTCCATGTATCCCTGTCTCTGTTTCTACTTTGTCCGTTTATTTTGTTTATTAGAGTCTACATATAAGTGAAATCATACAGTATTTGTATTAGTCTGGTTAGCTTATTTCATTTAGCATAATAATCTCTAGGTCCATCCATGCTGTCCCAAAAGGTAAAAGTTTTTCTTTTTTACCTCTGAGTAGATTAGATTGAAGGGGGAATATATTACAGAAAGGAATAACTGAAAGTAAGGAGACCTATCACAAAACTAGCTGCAAAAATGACAGAGCCTGAACAAAGACCATGGCACAAGTAGTTAATCTCCCTAAAGCACCTATTTGATCATCTCACCCACTCTGCTCAAAAGTGACCCCCCACCCTCACATTTGGCATCCAAGGCCATCCACAGTCTGGTCCCCATCTTGTGTGCAATCTCAAAGTGCCCCGGCACAAATCTGGAGTTCTAGCAATACTGATTTGCTATTTCCCCCAAATACATAAATTGTCAGCCTTATATACTGTTTTCTCTACCTAAAATACCCTTGGATCCTATCCACTTGAGGCCCAATTCAATGATCATCTCTTGACTTCTCTCTGAACTGTTATAGCATTTTATTCATATTCTTGAAATTTTCTATGTTTTATATTCAGTCCATGGGTCTTCCCAAGTGCCTGGTACCTAGTGGTTGAATTGTGTCTTCCCAAAATTTCTATGTGACTATATTCGGAGACAGGGACTTCAGGGAGGTAATTGAGGTAGTGCACAAACCCCACAGAACTGGAGTCCTTGTAAGAGAAAAGAGACACCAGAGATCTTTCTCTCTATACATGCACAAAGAGGCCATGTGAGAACACAGTGAGAAGGCGGCAATCTGCAAGTCAGGAAGAGAGGCTCACCAGAAATCAATCCTGACAGGATGTCATCTTGGACTTCTAGCTTCCAGAACTGGGAAAAAATAAATTTCTGTTCTTTAAGTCACCCATTCTGTGGTATCTGTTATGGCAGCCCTAGCAGACTAATACAATATCCGATAAATTCTTGCTGAATGTTAAAATGGCATCCCAGACATTCAACTTTAAACATTCTCTTCTGGATTTTATTTCATTTTGCAAACAGGATATTTTCTAGAAGTGCTAAGTTCAACTTTTACAATAGAATAATAAGAATTATAAAAATTTAAAACACTTTAAAAAGTCCTAAACTTTGGGGTTTTAAAAAAATTTATTCATTTATTTTTAGAGACAGGGGAGGGAGAAAGAGAGGGAGAGAATCATCACTGTGTAGTGGCCTCTTGTGCACCCCCTACTGGGAACCTGGCCTGCAACCCAGACATGTGCCCTGACTGTGAATCGAACCAGTAACCCTTTGCTTCACAGTCCACCACTCATTCCACTAAGTCACACCAGCCAGGTCAAAAACTCCTAAACTTTAAAGCATGCACATATATGGAAAAAAATCAGAACACTGGTTGTGAGAGGAAAGAAGGAAGAAGGATGGGGCTGGGATTGACTGGAAAGGGGCATAAAGAAGCTTTGAAAAATAATGGTATTATTCTCTATGTTAATTGAGGCATATATAAATATCAAAACTCATTTAACCGTACTGTTAAGATTTGTGTATTTCACTAATACAAATTTTACAGAAAGAAAGTATACAAATATTGAACTCTACTTAATGATATGCATAGTGAAAGACATGTTTAGGGATGAAGTATATGTGTGTTTACAACTTAGTTTGACATGTTACCAAAAAAATAAAAAATGGACTGATGAACACTTATATGATAGAGTAAATACAGCAAACTACTGAATACAGAATCTAGATGGTAGGTCCTTGAGTGTTCTCATGCATAAGTCTTTCAACTTTTCTGTAATATGAGTATTGTCATAATAAAAATGTGAAAAAAATACACCTAATCTTTATAATTAAAAAGTACATGACTTCTCATTTCTCTTTCACTGTATTCAGTGCTGTGCTTTTCACATTTAAGGTACTTACATAGAAAATGTAATGGTTTCACTCCAAGCCAGAAGAGAATGGCAAGGAATATTCCAAGTAGTGAAAACCAAAGGCCTGCAACCATGAATACTCTACTCAGCAAGGCTCTCAATTAATTAAAAGGGAAGGCCAAATAAGGAGTTTCCCAGACAAAAGAAGTCTAAAAGAATACACCTCCACCAAACTAGCTCTGCAAGAGATGCTAAAGGGTCCGATTTAAGGAAAGGAAGAAAGGAAGGAAGACAGAGAAAGAGAGAGAAAGAGAGAGGTGGGGGGGGGAACACAGGCACACACACAAAAAAGGGCAATGAATAAGTACCTATCAATAATAACCTTAAACGTAAATGGATTAAATGCTTCAATCAAAAGACATAGGATAGTTGAATGGATAAGAAAGCTTGGCCCACACATATGCTGCCTACAAGGGACCCACCTCAGGACAAAAGACCTACACAGACTGAAAGTGAAGGGCTGGAAACAGATTTTCCAAGCAAACACAGGGGAAAAAAGTCAGGGTAGCAATAATCGTATCAGACAAAACAGACTTCAAAAAAAGGACCATAAAGAGAGACCCAGAAGGTCACTTCATAATACTGAAGGGAAGAATCCACCAAAAAGACATAAACATTGTAAATATATATGCATCCAACATAGGAGCACCCAAATACATAAAGAAAATCTTGGAGGACTTCAAGGAAGATATTGACAGCACACAATTATAGTAGGGGATTTTAACACCCCACTGTCAAAAATGGACAGATCTTCCAAACAAAATATGAATGAAGATATTACAGCATTGAACAATGTCCTAGATTAAATGAACTTAACTGATATATGTAGAGCCTTTCATCCCAAAGAAGCAAAATACACATTCTTTTCAAGTGCACATGGAACATTTCGAAAGACAGACCACATGATAGGACACAAAACAAGTCTCAACAAATTCAAGAAAATTGAAATCATAACAAGCATCTTCTATGACCAAAAGGGAATGAGACTAGAAGTCAACCTAAGGAAAAAATTCAAACACACTCAAACTCATGGAGATTGAATAGTATGCTATTAAACAATGAATGGGTCAAAAATGAGATTAAGGAAGAAATCATAAAGTTTCTGGAAACAAATGAAAATGAACTCACAACAAACCAAAACATGGGACACAGAGAAGGCAGCCCTGAGAGGGAAGTTCATAGTGATACAGGCCTATCTAAAAAATAGAAACATTTCAAATAAACAACCTAACCCTACACCTACAAGAACTTGAGGAACAACAATAAAGATACCCCAGAACAAGTAGAAGGAAGGAAATAACCAAGATCAGGGCAGAATTAAATGACATAAAGACTAAAAGCACAATTCTAAGGGTCAATGAATCCAGGAGCTGGTTCTTTGAAAAGATAAACAAAATCGACAAGCCTTTAAACAGACTCATCAAGAAAAAAAGAGAGAGGACCCTAATAAATACAATCAGAAATGAAAGACACATTACAACTGATACCACAGAAATACAAAGGATTGAAGATATTACTATGAAGAGCTATATGCCAAGAAATTTGAAAACCTAGGTGAAATGGACAAATTTATAGAAAAATATAATCTTCCAAAACTCAATGAAAGAGCAGAAAGCCTGAACAGACCAATAACAGCTGATGAAATTGAAGCAGTAATAAAAAAAACTCCCAACACACAAAAGCCCTGGACGAGATGGTTTCACAGGAGAATTTTACAAAACATTTAAGGATGAGCTAACCTCTATCCTTCACAGACTATCCCAAAAAACCCAAAAAATCCAAAAAGAGGGAAAACTCCCAAACTCTTTTTATGAGGCCAGCATCATCCTAATCCCAAAACCAGAAGAAGACACAACAAAGAAAGAAAACCCCAGGCCAATATTGCTGATGTACATAGATGCTACAATCCTCAACAAAATATTGGCAAACTGCATCCAGCAATATATTTAAAAGATCATACACCATGACCAAGTGGGATTCATCCCAGGGATGCAAGGATGGTACAATATTCACAAACTAATACACATAATATATCACATAAACAAAAGGAAAGACAAAAATCACATGATCATATCAATAGATGCGGAAAAAGCATTTGATAAGGTACAGCACCAATTTATGATAAAAACACTCAGCAAAGTGGAAATAGAGGGAGCATTCCCCAACATAATAAAGGCCATATATGAGAGACCTACAGCCAACATCATACTCAATGGGCAAAAACTTAGAGCTTTCCCATTAAGATCAAGAACAAGACAAGGATGCTGGTTTTCACCACTCCTATTCAACATAGTATTGGAAGTCCTAGCCACAGCAATCAGACAAGAAAAAGAAATAAAAGGCATCCAAATTGGAAAAGAGGAAACAAAACTGTCATTGTTTCCAGATGACATAATAATGTACATAGAAAACCCTACAGACTCCACCAAAAAACTGCTCAGTGTAATAAATGAATTTGGCAAAAACAGTGGGATACAGAGTCAACATCCAGAAATCAAAGGCGTTTTTGCACAACAACGATAAAATATCTCAGAAACAGAAATAAGGAAAAAAAATCCTATTTGATATAGCAACAATAAAAGTAAAATACCTAGGAATAAACCTATCCAAGGAGGTAAAACATCTGTACTCAGAAAACTACACAACACTGACTAAAGAAATTAAGGGAGACACAAACAAATGGAACCATGCCATGTTCATGGATTGGAAGAATTAACATTATCAAAATGTCCATACTACCCAAAGCAATTTACAGATTCAATGCAATACCTATTAAAGCACCAATGACATATTTCACAGATATAGAACACTTCAAAAATTTATATGGAACCATAAATGACCCCGAATAGCTACAGCAATTTTGAGAAAAAAAGAACAAAGTAGGAGGAACTGCAATATCTGATTCCAAATTGTACTACAAGGCCACTGTAATCAAAACAGCCTGTTACTGGTATAAGAACAGACACATGGACCAATGGAACAGAATAGAGAGCCCAGAAATAAACCCAAGTCTCTATGGTCAATTAATATTTGACAAAGAGGGCAGCAGCATAAAGTGGAGTAAAAATAGCCTTTTCAACAAATGGTGTTGAGAGAGCTGGGCAGCTACACGCAAAAACATGAAACTCGATCACCAACTTACACCATACACAAAAATAAAATCAAGGTGGATAAAAGACTTAAATATAAGTCATGATACCATAAAAGTCCTTCAAGAGAACATAGGCAGGAAAATCTCAGATTTTCCATGCAGCAATATTTTCACTGATATGTCCCCTAGAGCAAGGGACATAAAGGAAAGAATAAGCAAATGCGACCTCATCAAAATAAAAAGCTTTTGCATGAGTAAAGAAAACAGCATTCAAATGAAAAGAGAACCAACAGTATGGGAAAACATATTCGCCAATGATACCTCAGACAAGAGTTTGATGTCCAAAATATATAAAGAACTCACATGACTCCACTCCAGGAAGACAAACCCAATTAAAAAATGGGCAAAAGACTTGAGCAGACACTTCTCCAAGGAGGACATACAGAGGGCTCAGAAACAAATGAAAGGATGCTCAGTATCACTCACCATCAGAGAGATGCAAATTAAAACCACTTCACACCAGTCAGAATGGCCAACATAAACAATCAATGAACAACAAGTGTTGGAAAGGTTGTGGAGAAGGGAACCCTAGTGCACTGTTGCTGGGATTGCAGACTGGTGCAACCACTATGGAAAACAGAAGGAAATTTCCTCAGAAAACTAAACATGGAACTGTCTTTTGACCTGGCAATTCCACTGTTAGGATTATACCCTAAGAATCTTGAAACACCAATTCAAAAGGACTTATGCACCCCAATGTTCATAGCAGCACAACTTATAATAGCCAAGCGCTGGAAGCCACCTCAAATGAGTGCAGAGTAAGCCACCCTGCACTCATTTACTAAGTGCAGGAGCCCATTAGTAAATGAATGGATCAAGAAACTATGGCACATTTACACAATGTAATTCTACACAGCAGAAAGAAAGAAGGAGCTCCTACACTTCGGTCCAGCATGGATGGAACTGGAGAGCATTATGGTAAGTGAAATAAGCCAGGTGTGAAAGACAAATACCATATGATCTCCCCTTTCAGTGGAACCTAATCAACAAAACAAATAAGCAAGCAAAATATAACCAAAGACATTGAAATTAAGAACAAATTGAGGGGACATAGGAAGGGATGATGAGGGGGAAAAGGTGAAGGGTTTACAGGAACAACTATAAAGGACACACGGACAAAACCAAGGGGGGAGGTGGAAACAGAGAAGGGAGGTCGGGATGCCTGGGGTGGTGCAGAGGGCTGGGGGGAAAGGGCAGAAAACTGTAGTTGAATAACAATAAAATTCAAAAGTATTTAATTAAAAAAAAAGAAAATGTAATGGTTTCATAGCTTTAAATAATTTAAACTTTGCTGAATAATTTGTGACTATGTCACATAGTTAACCATGCTTTACAATTTAACAAACTTATCTAAACCTAAAAGCTATACTAAAATTTTAAATTTTACAGCACCTTCACTTATGTTCTTGTGTGCCTCTGAGGCAGTAGGGGCAAACGTTATTCTCATTTACAGTGAGGTTAAATGATGTGCTAAGGCCAGCTCTGGAAAACCAGATCTTCTGACTTTCAACCCAGGATATTCTCCCTTATAAACCACGTTAGAGAAAGTATCTAAAAATTCCCCCCAGGTTTCACTAGAGACTTATTTTATTATCTCTTTACTTACATTATCTGTGTGAACAGAATGATTCTGCAAGACAGATTAACTTTTGCCCCACTTACAACATCTTATCTGACCTTCCAAAAGAAAAATCAGTGTTCTTTAAGCATTGTTGGATGTTTTAAAAGCAAAAAGCGATTCTCTGAAATTTGGTTTTAGAAATTCAAATAACTGTGGAGAAGGCAGTTATAAATGTTACTTAAAATAACCTTATTTTATAGATTCAAAAGTTAATTCCCAAAGGGGTTAAGTGGTCAGCTCCAAAGCTGTTAATGGGAGAAGCAGTACTAAATCCAGAACATCTAACTCCCTAACCAGAGCTCTTTCCCATAAACTTTAAAACTATCACTGCAAAATTATGAGTGTATTAACTCAATTTAAATCATAGTATGAATGTGACAAAACCAAAGCCATAAAGGGGCCAGTAAACGTTAAATAGTCCACATACTTTCAAAGCCAAGTCTTTATTTAAAAATTTTACGAGTGTTTGCATTTGTTGGACACATGGATTATATTTGAAGTCAGCCGCTGGGCTAAGCTAATCTAATAAGCAGCTGAAGTGAAGAGTGAGCAATGACCCCACATAAAAAAGACCCCACTTAAGTTCTTTGGCCAAATGATATTTGTCAGAGAATTCAGCCTGCTGAGACCACCTTCAAGAATACCAATCCCTACAAAATGACTCAAAGCACAAAGCTTACTACAGATAGGTCAATGACAGGTGAAATGACTTTTCATTATCTTTGGTTAAAAATACATTTGTATGGTCATGATTTTTTAAAACTCAACTATTTATCTAGACAGCAGCACATATGGAACTACATTGAAACAGAGAACTTTCATTGCAACTTGGTCAAAATCCAAACCCGTCTTTTAACACATGGGTTAATATTTAATCATAGACCTCTGGTGTTTGAACATATAAAAGATACAGCCTTTTTCTTAAATGTTACATTTTCTCTAATGCCTAGGAAGGCAGCAGAACCCAGGCAGATACTAGAATTGATCTCCCCTTCAAGACTCCAAACGTTCTGCCCGTCAAAATAGTAAAACTTGTACCAAGTTGTTTCATTTTATCAAGTAAATAAGCTCTCCACTTAAAAAAAAATCTCCTACAAATGCTCAACTGAAAATACGAGGGGGAATGGTATAGGATAGAAAAGATTTCGGGGGGTGGCCAAAAACCTTATTACAATCCCTACCCACCGCGGCTTGATCACCGCGCAACCACCTGGAGTTTCCCGGGCGGTTACTCAAGGCCTGAGCGACGCAGAGAGAACCATGACCCCCAAGGAGCAGACTGGCTTCCTAAAGCCAAGCCCGCGCCTCCCATGACCTCCAATAGCTCGAAAAAGGAGCTCTGAATTGCCCGCTTCTTCCACAACTAGTCTGCACTCCCTCCTAGGCCAGAGGAGAGAACAGGGTCCGGGGACAAAACAAAAGACACGCCTGCCACTGAGAAAAACCCTATCACCTGGAACTCGGCGAACTCCTCACAGTTCACACCGCCACTGGGCGCCGCCATATTGGACAAACGCGAGGCCCCCTTCGCGAGCCAATCACCACGGAGCAAAGGTGTCCGCGGCGCCGCCTGACAAAATATTTCTAGGGACACCGCGAGAAAGCTGAGCTCTAGGCCTGTTTTTTCCTAGTCCTCATTCACTTCGGAACCTAGAACTCTGCTGTTCTTTCCATGCCTACCGCTTTAACACGACCTCCTGGAACTGACCCATACGCATGGATCGAAGAATGTCAGAACTTTTGAAGGAATCGTTTTACCCTAATCCCATCTTCTTATAAAAAGGGAGACAATTCCCTGGTGGAGTAGAAGTGGTGTTTCTTAACCCTTCCCTTCCATTATCTACCTCTCAAAGCTGAGGGGCCTTCATTAAGAACTGGGGACCACTCAGAAATGTCAAGTCATCTCTGTCAGAGTGGGTGCATAAGGGTTGAGCAGGTGTTAGATGTGTAATGTTTAGTTTTATAAGAATAGGTAAACAGAAATCAGAAATATACATTAGCCAGAGAGACACTCCCAAACCCAACAAGGTATGCCTCACCTACGTGTTTTTTATAAAGATATATACTGTATATTCATTGAAAACACTGAAATACCGGTTTACCTAGGCAGTATGATTTCGTGAGTCTACAGTTTGCAAAGTTATACAGCAGTTACACTACTTTTCTTCTATTTTAAACGAGTAATTTCTTAGATGCAAAGAATAATACGTATAGGAAAGGCTCATTATACTCATACTCTGTGTGAGCATTTTAAGGACGCGAGCCTCAGGTGGTGCCCGCTAGACGCCTGGCCCCCACATTCTCCGAGTCTGACACGTTCCGAACGTCTCACACGGTAAGCTCCGGAATGCCCGCCCATACGCTCATTGCGTCAAGCACGATCCGTTCGCTCCGCCCTCACTTCTCACGTGTCGCAATCACCGTCTCCGCCTACGTCTTTCCCTTTGCGGCCCTCAGTGACATTGAGTCCTCCCGCGCCACTGCCTTCTCCTAGGCGCCGTGCGGTTTAGTGGAGTAGGCGGCGATGGGGAGCCTCCGCGGCCTGCTCCTGGCGGCGGGTGAGATGCGGGAGTGAATGTGGGGGCGGCGGGCAGCCACCTTGGCCACTGGGTTTGGAGGAATCTTGCAGCCTCCCCAGGCCTGGTTGTGGCTTGGTGCCTTACGCACTCCCCTCTAGTTGCTTGGAATCATACCCTCATGGTAGTAATAATGGGAGAGAGCAAGGGCTGAGCGAGCAACTGCTAAGTAGACAGTAGGGGCTAGCCCGATGTGACCCTCGCACCTGGCTCTTAACCACACTGCTCCCACCAACTTCATGAGCCCTTGCTCCCCGATCCTTTCTCCCCTCTCCCATCACCAGCCTTCTAGGAGAAGCTCAGCTCTTAATGCACCTGCCATCTTTAGAACTACCTCATTGCTTGATTCGGTCAGCTTTCCACCCTAATCTCTCCCCTCCCTCAGTTACTTCTACTTGAGTATTGAGCCTTCCCCCACCCCCCGCCGCCGCCGTGCCCCCCAACCCATCTCGAGTTTATCCCTGCTGTCAAAGAAAACCTGTAGTCTGGGGTTTCCTATCCATTTAGAGACTGATTAGACAAGGGATTTAAGGTCTCACAGTTTTCTTAAAATGGGGGATTTCTTTTAAACAATTTTGCAATTAAGTACTTTGAATTTCTTCGAGTGTTATTTAAATACAGGATCTGCAGTTTGTTTTCCTAGTGAACATCTGTATAATGGGTGTTTGGAGCCAGAGCTTAACTTGCCTTGGGGAATCGGCTGAGCTTTTGCCTAGTAAGGGTGAAGAAATCAGCATTTGCCTCTTGTCTCTGCCCCAGAGCTAACCACTCCCACATACCTTTGTAAGATTTGATAAGGCGCAATGATCATTCTTTTATTCCTTGGTAACAAATTACTGAACAGACGTATAATTCAAATTTTAAAGGAAGAATCGCCCCAAACTTGGCTATGGAGATTGATTTCATTGATTTGTTCAATCTGTTGAACTAATTTGCCTAAAATCTTTTGTACATAGTAGTCCCCCTTTATTTGTGTTTTGCTTTCTACCATTTCAATTTCCCATGGCCAGTCGTGGTCTGAAAATATTAAATGGAAAATGACAAATAAAGAATTTATAATTTTGACGTTGCGGGCAGTTCTGAATAGTGTTATTGACAGGAGAGACCTGGTTCTTGCTGATGCATGTAAAGAGTTACAGATAAGCAAATCTATTAGTGTGTAATCAGTTTATTAGTGATCCATTTCCATGGAAGAAAACAGGACTGGGTAGAGTGGGGGTGAAAGGCAAAGTTTCAGGGCAAAGCAGGGCGGCAAAAGTTGAGGGGCTGAAGACCAGGGTGGCCTGTCCCCAGGCAGCCTGAGGCCAGGTGGCCAGAGGCCCAGTGGCCTGAGAGTCAAGAGCCTCAAGAGTGCCCGAGCCTGAGAGAGAGAGAGAGAGAGAGAGAGAGAGGAGAGAGAGAGAACGAGTCCTTTGTTCTGAGGACTTACATAGTTGGTGGGATAGGAGGAAAAAAGTTACATATTGATTAACAGGTAAATGTGGTGTGAGCTTTCCTGGGGGAATGTGACTACCCAAACTTAGGTGTGTGGGGGTCTGCTAGCCCGGATCCTTATCTTGCCCAAGACCCCATTTGTTCATCTTGTTGTAAAACAAATACTACATGACAGAAAGCAGTTAATTAAAATTGGGGCACTTTCCAAAGTTAATTATGGGCTCTTTCTGTCAGCATCAGGGACTCCCTTGTAAAACAGATAGTGACCAGAGGTAGACAATTAACCAAAGTTGTTTTACAGGCTTCTTTGGGCACCATGGACCCTCTCCTGCATTCCAGGCTCTGGGATGAAAGCACAGTTTCAAGGCTTTCTTTCCCAGATAGTGGAAAAGCTACATAGAATTTCAAGGACTTCCCTTCTTTCTTGCTAACATGGTGTTTCTTGTGATGTTGGAACACCTGGCAATATTATCAGACCAGGCTCAGAACTGCTAAGTTAGCATGTGAGACATGTCTCCTTCCTCCCTCTGCCTCAGTTTACTATTTATTCTACCTAATTGGTAAAAGGTGTTTCCTGGCAACCAGGGTGCTAGACGCTGGCCAGTAACAGTATTGCAGTCTCAAAGTTCTTCCTATGCTGTCTTCTGCCTGACTGTGATTAAATCTTGCGTCTTTCCACTCCATCTTGCCCTCAAGTCCAGCATTTACTCTGTATACACTATCAGATTGTTAGTCAGTTAGTAGCTATCTCGATTGTTAGATGGACTGTTGTGATGTTGCAGTGCCTGTGTTCAAGTCACCCTTACTTTACTTGAATAATGGCCCAAAGCACAAAAGTAGTGATGTTGGCAGTTCAGATAGGCCAAAGAGAAGCAGTAAAGTGTTTGTACATATTAAAAAACATAGTATGTAGGGATGGATACTATTCATTGTTTCAGGCATCCACTGGGGGTCTTGGAATGTTTACCCCATGGCAAAGGGGGGACTACTGTATTCCCTTTTAACTATTGTAAACCTTTTCAGCATGATAAATGAAAGAATCATTGCTCTGTAAAAAAGCTAAAATAGATTGAGTGAGAGGGACTTTGACTACACAGGAGCTAAGACCAAAAGTTTATAAGCAGTTTATCTTCTAGCCTTGAGAATGTATTTATGCATTATAAAGATTCCAAAGCCTGTCCTGGCTGGTGTGGTTCAGTGGATTGAGTGCTGGCCTGGGAACCAAAGAGTTGCCAGTTCGATTCCCAGTCACGGCACAAGCCTGGGTTTCAGCCCAGGTCCCCAACAAGGGGTGCATGAGAGGCAACCAACCACCCAGTGCTGTTTCTCTCCCTCTCTGTCCCTCTCCCTTCCCCTCTTTAAAATAAATAAATGAAATCTTTAACAGAAAGAAAGAAAGAAATTTTAAAAAAGATTCCAAAGCCTCTCAGCATACTTTTAATGTTTAAGGAATTTAATATTGGGCACTCAATCAAAATAAAATTCCTTGGACAATTTAAGAACAATTTTATTCCAGATAGATCCACTGAAGATGTTATATGGGTAACTCTTTCCAAATGTTCTTCTCTTAGTGTTTGTTGTTTTGTGAACAAGTCCAAATAATTTGCTCACCCACGTTTGCCCATTTTATAGCTAAATATATTCATGTACATTATTTTACTTGACTAATTTCTCATAATAGCCTTCTTAGGTAAGTCTTATCATCCCCTCTCCATTTTACAAGTGAAGAAACATTGATCAGAGGGTTAAATGGCTTATCCCAAATCACTTCACTTCACAACGTTAGAGCCAGGAAATGAGCCTGTCCTCTAATTCTGGAACTTGTGCTCTTTTCCTTGTTCAAGCTGTCTATTCACAGTAAGTGTATATATGTATGTATCATGGCTCTTTGGGTCTCTGATGTAAAACGAGAGTCATGAACTGTCCTTTTACTTATGAAAAGGAGGCACACATTCATATGCAAGTGGATTTTCAAGTATGAAAACTGATGTAACAAGCAACCTTAACCAAATAATGTAAAGTCTCTACTATCCACAGATTTAGTCACCACAGATCAAAAATACTAAAAAAAAAGTTACCTTATTGCTGATTTATACTGTTTAATTAGGCCCATGATGGTTGCATCTCTACTGAACAAGTACACTTTCTTTCTTGTTATTATTTCCTAAACAATACAGCTTAATAGATATTTACATAGTGCTTACATTGTATAAAGTATTATGAGTACTCTAGAGGCTATTTAAAGCATTTGGGAAGATGCACATAGATTACATGCAAATACTATGCTACTTTATATGAGACTTGATCATCCTTGGGTTTTTGTTATCTGAGGGGATCCTAGAACCAGATTCCAAGGGACCACTCAGATTCCAAGAGACCACTGTATATCTCACTTATCCAGAATATTAATAGGAATAAGATACTCTAGGTGAGTAAAATTTCAAAGAGCCAAAGCTTAATCCTTCAAATGATGGCCTTTTATTTTTAATATTTTCTTTTGGA